TAGGGAAAAGAGGGAAACATGAGGTTTGTTTGTTTGTTTGTTTGTTTTGTTTTGTTTTGTTTTATCCTATGCTCTGGAGGAGTTCCAGGGAGCCACAGCCTTGGTGCAGCTATGGTGTGGCTGGGGAGACAAAACTCAAGGACAGCAGAGCCAAGGCCTGGGGCTGTGAAGACCCAAGAGCAACCAGGAACCACCAAAGGGCACGAAAAAAGGCGTAATCACATATTTGCTAGTCACTGTCATTATTTGACCCTGGAGTCAAAGATGAGTAGAAGCTATGGTACAGCAGCACTGGCTTTAGAAACCATTCAGATAGTTCAAACAAGAGAAGCTGCTGGTGTTAGTGGATCTAGCAAGTAGGTGGGATGAAGAAAGGCTGTGGGGTGTGTATGTAGTAGCTCAGTGGTAAGTGCTTGCCTGGTGTGTAGGGTCCTATAGACTCTCCACCAACATTAATAAGAAGAAAAAAGAGCTAGGCATAGTGGTACACTCCTTTAATCCCAGAACTTAAGAGGCAGAGGCAGGTAGATCTCTGAATTCCAGGCCAGCATGGTTTACACAGTGGGTAAAGACCATGGATGGATTGATGGGTGGATGGATGGATGGGTGGGTGGATGGATGGATGGATGGATGGGTAGGTGGGTGGGTGGATGGATGGATGGATGGGTGGGTGGTGGGTGGATGGATGGGTGGGTGGGTGGATGGATGGATGGGGTGGTGGGTGGATGGATGGGTGGGTGGGTGGGTGGATGGATGGATGGGTGGGTGGATGAATTGGTAGATAAAAGAGAAAGTTACGGAGGGTTGGATGGAAGGTTAAGGGGGATGGTGGAGACTGCTTTGATGTCGGGGGCAAGAGGACTCTGGCTTCTGTTTGGCTGGCTGGCTAGTAGTGACATCCTTTAAAATAAGAATAAGGATGTGGGGGACACAACCTAGGACTAGATTGCATCTGAAGGTGTCTGTGTACCCTAGGGCAGGCATGCAGGTGGCTAGAGAGGGAAACAGGAGTCTGCAGAGATGGGTGAGCTAGAGACAGCACATTCTGTCCCCTATGTGCTCCTCACTGTCCAAGGACTGGGTGTGTGGGAGTTTGCTCATCATATTCTTGGTGCCCATTCACATGAAGTGAAGAAGAACTGGGGGTTGCAGACGATGGGGAGTGACAGATGAGTCACTCTGAAAGGAGAAGAAGGAAGAGCCACTCTGGGCAGAGAGAAGATCGAGTGCCAGAGCCCTGTGGCAGGAATGAGCCTGCACATTTGTGGTCTTGCATGGTTCATGGGATATGCTATGCGAGCAGGAAAGGTGGTGGAGAGGGAGCTGCTAACTTAACATTCCAGCCCTTGGGCAGTTGGACTTGTTCTGGGTGTGATGTTCAGCCCTCAGAGCATGAGGAAGAGGGAGTGGATGTAATCTACTGTATGACTGTATAGTGGGACAGAGGAGAGGACTACACTGCTTCATCAGAGGACAGGGGTCAGAGAGACAGCTCAAAAGACCAAAAAGAAGGAACTGGGAAGGTGATGGTGCCACATGCCTTTAACCCTCACCACTGCCTATATCACTCCAGTTAAATCTTTGCCTAGTTGAGGATGTGGCCAAGCACTTCTCTTGGTTGAAGCACTGTGTGTTAGAAAAGTGAGCTGTCCTTTTGGAACTTGTCTGCAGCTGTTTGCATGTGGCTACTCAGAGGACATGGCAGAGTTTATACTTGTTGGAGTGGAAAGGGATCCTGTTCTACTCTGAGGCAGCTGACGAGCTTATAAATGACTTGTCACTTTCACTGGAAAGATGGGAAACTGACCAGCCAGATGTAGCTCTTGGAGCAAGGGATGGTGACAAGAGAGATAGAAAGAGCTGCACGTGGTTGTGAGCCACATATGTGTGCCATGGCTGAACCTGGATCCTCTAGAAGAGGAGCCAGTGCTCTTAAGCACTGAGCCATCTATCCAGCCCCCAAGGGCTTGTTCTTTCTTAAATTGGATTCTTGGATCGAGTTTAAGTTGCTTCCTCTGCCTCATAGTCCCCTTTCTTAGACAAACTATGTACCCATATATGGATTTAAAGGAATGCCAGCTGACAGGGGTAGAACTTTGAGCCATCAGTTTTAATAATCAAGAAAATGTTCATGAGGGGCTAGAGTGATTGTTCAGCAGTCAAGAGTGCTTACTGCTCTTCAAGGACTCAGGTTTCATTCCCAGCACTCACATGGCAGCTCAAAACTGACCAGAACTCTGGTCCCAGGGGAATCCAGTGTCCTCTTGTGGCCTCCATAGGCACTGCACACGTGATGCATAGACAAGCAAACAGGCAAAAAAAAAAAAAAAAAAAAAAAAAAACCAATTAAAATGGATAAAAGGAAAATGCTGATAAGGTGGGAAAGAAGGATGGCAGCAATTGAGACTGAGAGGTGTAGGAAACTGTCCTCGGTGACCAGAGCACAGGCTGCTGCTGAGAGGTGCAAACTCAGGTCAGAGCATGCCTGCACTCTGCTTCCAAAGCAGTAGCCCCTCCCTCCAGCCAGATGGACTAGCATGGCATTCTATGCTGCTCTGACTCCTCTGAAAACGGAAAACTAAAGCTGTTATTAGGAACACGTTCTTTCTTTGTTTAAAGAAGTATATAAAGAGTCTCAAAGGGCTGGAAAGATGGCTCAGAGGTTAAGACCACTGGTTTCTCTTCCAAAGGTCCAGAGTTCAGTTCCCAGTAACCACACGGTGGCTCACAACCATCTGTAATGGGATCTGGTGACTTCTTCTGGTGTGCAGGCACACATGCAGGCAGAACACTGTATACAAAAATAAATAAATCTTAAAAAAAGAAAAGCGTCTCACTCCATAGCCGAGGTTGGCTTTGAACTCTATAGACTTAACTCAGCTACTAAGTACTGGGATTACAAGCACACACCACCACACACAGCACCAGGCTGGGACATTTTTAGTGTCACACTTTATGTGCTCAGATGTCGTGGGAGGTGGATCGGTGCTGGAGGTGAGGGACGGGGATAAGCTATAACTAATAAATGTGAGAATAGGAAAGGAGGGCTGAGCGCTGACGCCCAGGGTGAGGAGGGAGGGAGGGAGGGAGGGAGGGAGGGAGCCACACTCTGCCAGGGCTCACCATGGAATTCCCACCCCCAACTTAGGGAGCTTATTCTATGGCATGCATGGGACATCTGCCTTATTCTATAGCAATGTCCAGTTTGCGCTGCGCTCTCAGAAGACTGGAAGGCCATGAAGAGCAATGACTGACTTATTTGTCTTTATAGTCCCCACAGCACTTATATAAACTTTTTTTTTTTTTTTTTTGGTTTTTCGAGACAGGGTTTCTCTGTGTAGCCCTGGCTGTCCTGGAACTCACTCTGTAGACCAGGCTGGCCTCAAACTCAGAAATCCACCAGCCTCTGCCTCCCAAGTGCTGGGATTAAAGGCGTGTGCCACCACCGCCCGGCTAAGATTTATTTATTTTATGTATATGAGTACACTGTAGCTGTCCTCAGACACACCAGAAGAGGGTATTAGATCCCATTACAGATGGTTGTGAGCCACCGTGAGGTTGCTGGGACTTGAACTCAGGTCCTCTGGAAGAGTAGTCGGTGCTCTTAACCACTGAGCCATCTCTCCAGCCCATGGCATAAACTTGTAATAAGGCCAGCAGAATGAAGCTAGTCACAGAGAAAATGAGGGTGTCAGAGCAGACATGATCGAGTTCAGTGACAGACTTTCGAGGAGTGGCAATGTCTGTGAGGTTGCTGATGGGGCACCTAGTCAGAAACTGCTTAGGAGGTGATGTGGTAACTGGTAAGATGGCTTAGTGGGTTAAGACTTGCCCTCAAACCTGACCACCAAATTTCAGGCCATGGAACCCACATGGTGAAAGGGAGAACAGTGTCCTACGAGTTGTCCTGTGATCTCCACGGGTGCACTGTGGCCTGTATACATGCACCCACACACATACACACATACACACAGTGGCCTGCACGCATGCCTGTATGCATGACCCCCCCATACACATACAAGAAATACATGTTAAGTGGGACAAGAGCTGAAAAATACAAGCTAGCTCATGTGGTACGTGCAGAAGCATGTACCATGGAGGGAACATGTGGCTTTCATAAGGACACAGAAATGGACAGTTAGGTGGACATAGGATTATTGCGGCCGACACTGCCACTACCTGAGGTAGAAAATCTACAGTCAGCATTCTTGCCTTAGTCACCGTTTTCTTGCTGAGAGGAGACACCATGACCAAGGCAAGTTTTAAAAGAAAGCATTCAATTGGGGCTTACTTACAGTTTCAGAGGGTTAGTCTAGAACCATCATGGGACGTAATATGCTGACAGGCATAGTGCTGGGGCAGTACCCAAGAGCTCACATCTGATCCACAGGTAGAGAAAGAACAAGACTGTTCCCAGTGTAGGCTTTTGAAACCTCAGAGGCCACCCCCAATGACTCACCTCCTCACAAAGGCTCCTAGTCCTTTCCAAACATTTCCACTGACTGAACTAATATGTAAGCATATGGGGGCCATTCTCATCCAAATTAACACAGCTCCCTTAGTTGGAAGTAATAGAATCCATATTAAATCAGCCTAAGCACAAGAAAAAAAATATATTGGTTTATATGAGTGCAAAGTCGGGGGGGTTAGGGGGAGTGCTGGAGGTGGCAGCTGAAGACATTGGCAGGTCTTAGGTATAACAAGATAATGGGATTCCTGTGATGATCTAATGAACACCCTCAAACTAGATGACAACAGCCATTATCAAATTTGTGTCCTGCCAAAGCCCTGGGTGTAATGCTCACTTTTCTATAGCAAGCCAGATGTCCAGTTCCGACTGGCCAGGGTGGACCTAGTGGTAGAGGCAGTGCTGTAAGGGGAAGCAGAGGGCAGGGAGGTGTGCTGCAGGAATGCAAGGACTTGGTTGAGTCACTGTTGGAAGCAAAGGGGACCTAAGACAAGGCACTGTGCTCCTAAGTCTGTTTTCCAATGTCTTTCAGCATCTTCACGATACAGTAAAGAGGAGTCTTGACAGGGCTGCCTCCCCTCAGAATGGCGATCAACCAAATGGCTATGGAGACCTGTTTCCTGGGCATAAGAAAACCCGCCGGGAGGCCCCTCTGGGGGTCAGTGTATCTGCCAATGGGCTTCCTCCTGCCTCACCCCTGGGTCAGCCTGACAAGCCTGCTGGGGGAGATGCCCTGCAGACTGGTGGGAAGCACTCCCTGGGGCTAGATTCCATCAACAAGAAGTGTCTGGCAGACACCAGCATCCACCTGAATGGAGGCAGCAACTCCAGTGAGCCATTTCCTCTAAGCCTGAATAAAGAACTCAAGCAAGAGCCAGTGGACGACCTGCCATGCATGATCACAGGAGCTGGAGGCTCCGTAGCTCAGAGCAACCTCATGCCTGACCTCAACCTTAACGAGCAGGAGTGGAAGGAGCTCATCGAAGAGCTCAACAGGTCAGTGCCTGACGAAGACATGAAGGACCTGTTTACTGAGGACTTTGAGGAGAAGAAGGATCCAGAGCCCCCTGGTTCTGCCACACAAACCCCCTTGGCCCAGGACATTAATATTAAGACTGAGTTCTCTCCAGCAGCTTTTGAGCAGGAGCAGTTAGGTTCTCCACAAGTAAGGGCGGGGTCTGCAGGCCAGACCTTCCTAGGACCCTCATCTGCCTCTGTGGGCACAGATTCTCCAAGCCTTGGGAACTCTCAGACTCTGTTTCACACCACTGGTCAACCTGGGGTGGATAATTCCAGTTCAAACCTGATGCCGGCATCAGCCCAGACCCAGAATGCACAAAGAGCCCTCACAAGTGTAGTATTACCTAGCCAGGGCCCAGGAGGGGCCTCGGAGCTGTCCTCTGCTCACCAGCTCCAACAGATAGCTGCCAAGCAGAAGCGTGAGCAGATGCTGCAGAATCCACAGCAAGCTGCCCCAGCACCTGGCCCAGGCCAGCTGTCCACATGGCAGCAGACAGGGGCCTCCCATAGTCCCTTAGATGTTCCTTATCCCATGGAGAAACCTGCCAGCCCTCCTGGCTATAAGCAAGACTTTACCAACTCAAAACTGCTCATGATGCCTAGTGTGAACAAGAGTTCTCCTCGGCCAGGAGGCCCCTACCTCCAGCCTAGCCACTCCAGCCTGCTGAGTCACCAGTCACCAAGTAACTTGAATCAGAACCCTGTGAATAACCAAGGGTCTGTGCTAGACTATGGCAATACAAAACCTCTTTCTCATTACAAAGCAGACTGTGGCCAAGGTGGCCCTGGGTCTGGCCAGAACAAACCAGCTTTGATGGCATATCTTCCCCAGCAACTGCCTCATCTGAGTAATGAACAGAACCCCTTGTTTCTGATGAAACCAAAGCCAGGAAACATGCCTTTCCGGTCATTGGTTCCCCCTGGCCAGGTGAGTAGGACCTTCGCTTTCCATCTCTCTGCCATGGACACTAGTGAAGGCCCATACTGAACTTTGACCTTTCATCCTTTGAAGTAGAAAATGTAAAAAAACAGAGCACAAGTTTTTGAGGCACAGTTCATTTATCCCTGGCTGGCTGTGAGGCCATGCTGCTCTTGAGCTGCTGATTCCCCTTGCCTCTACCTCCCACGTGTTGAGATTACAGATGACTAGAATTGCCTTAACAAAAATAAAGTTCCTTAGTATATCTGGGCAGTGGTGGTGAGAGCTTTAATCCCAGAACTCAGGAGGCAGGGGCAGAGGATCTTTTGGAGTTTGAGGCCAGGCTGGTCTATAAAGCAAATTCCAGGACAGCCAGGGCTACATGGAGAAACCTTGTCTAGAAAGGAAAAAAATTCCTTAGTATAACTTGGACTTTAACTATACAAATGTTTGAGAAATTGCCTAGTTTAGTTTAGTTGTCTCTTTCATGCCAAACAACTACATAAGGCTTTGTCAAAAAACAAATTAAAATAAGGGCTGGAGAGGTGGCTTAAGCACTAGCTGTTCTAGAAGTCCTGAGTTCAAGTCCCAGCAACCACATGGTAGCTCTGTAATGGGATCTGATTCTCTCTTCTGGTGTGCATGAAGACAGAGAACATAAACACACATAAACAAACAAACAAATCGATCATATATATATATATATATATATATATATATATATATATATATACAGAGAGAGAGAGAGAGAGAGAGAGAGAGGGAGGGAATATATGTATATATATATGTGTGTGTTTTATTTATAGATAGATAGATAGATAGATAGATAGATAGATAGATAGATAACCAGCCAGCCTGACATGGCAGCACATAAATCTGCAGGAGGCAGAGGCAGGGGGAATCTCTGAGTTCAAGACCATCTCTTGTCTACATAATGAGACCCTGTCACAAAACAACAAACCAGTTGTGGTTCACAGTAATCCCAGCACAGGGAAGTTGAGGCAAGATTGCCACAAGTTCGAGGCTACCCTGGGCTACAGTGTGAGGCCTTGCTTGTTTTGTTTTGGAGAAAAAAAATGAGGGGAGTGGATTGGCTGTATTAAGTTCACAGCATTAAGCATGAACTCAAGAAAGGCAGAGTATGGAGCTGGTGGATGATATGCTCAGAAAGTGCTCTTAAGACAGGACCCCTGCAGTTCACTGGACAGCCTGTCTAACCACATTGGGAAGCTCTGGGTTCAGAGATCCTTTCTCACAAAATTAGGTGAAACAATTAAGAAAGCCACTTGATGTTGACCACTGGTGCACAAAGAAACACTAAATAAAATTTAAAATATAGGGGCTGGAGAGATGGCTCAGTGGTTAAGAGAACTGACTGCTCTTCCAGAGGTTCTGAGTTCAAATCCCAGCAACCACATGGTGGCTCACAACCATCTATAATGAGATTGGATGCCCTATTCTGGTGTGTCCGAAGACAGTGACAGTGTACTCATAAATAAAATAAATAAATAAATCTTTCAAAAAAAAAATTTAAAATATAAACATATAAAAGTGTCTTGCTAGAAAAATACACATAGACAAGTGAGCATAAAAACGATTTCATGCTCTTTGGGGGCAACCATAAGCCAAGTCTACACTCTAACGACATAGCATTATTTTGCTTTTGTTTTCTTTGGTAGGAGGTTAGGATATTTGTAGGGTATTATTATTGTTTGGCTTTTGTCAAAGATTGGAGTTGCAGACAGTCGTAAGCTGCCCTGTGGGTGTTGGGAATTGAACCTGGCTGCTCTTAACCACTGAACCATCTCTCCAGCCCTGTTGTTTGTCTCTTTAATGAGGCTTTGTGTTTTAGGTTGGTTGGTTTGGAGATTGGCAGAGGGGTGTTGTTTGCTGTTTTGAGTTAGGATCTCATTCTATATCCCTGACTGATTGGAGCTCACAGAGTTCCGATTGCTTCAGCCTAGCGCTAAAATTTAAATATCTCCCCATACACATGACAAACATTTCATGACAAACATTTCATGTTCAAACTATAAAATCAGGGAAGCAGAGGCTTGGAGTTACAAAAGAGAACAGTGAATAAAACTATCACTAGGTGCAGCTTACCTGACCTGATAAGGATTGGGACAGATCACCCATACTACCTAACTTCATCTTTGTTGACAGGAGCAGAACCCCCCCAGCGTCCCTGTACCAGCCCCAACTGCCAGTGTGGGAGCCCAGCCTAGTGTGTCTGTGGCCAGCACTCACAGCAGCCCCCCATACCTCAGCAGCCAGCAACAGGCAGCCGTGATGAAGCAGCACCAGCTGCTCCTGGACCAGCAGAAGCAGCAGCAGCAGCTGCAGCAGCAGCAGCAGTTCCTGCAGAGGCAGCACCTCCTGGCTGAGCAGGTAACAGGCACCTGAGACCACACGGGCACTATTTGAGCTTGTTTGCACTCAATGTCAGTGCAGTGTCCTTTAAAATCCCCTTTTCAGCCCAGCAGTAAAAGCAGGTAAAGTGCTAGAGTGCTTGTCAGCCTGGTGGCCTGAGATCAGTCCCTGTAACTCACACACACACGTGAAAGGTGAGAACCAACTCAAGTGGCCCTCTGACCTCTACGCCACACCATGGCACGCACACCCCCAAGAGCAAGCATTCACACACACATTCACACATGATGATAGGTTGTTTGTTTGTTTTGAAAGAAGTTAGGACCAGCAAGGCTGGAGGTCTGTTCCCAGCACCTATATCAGGTGGTTCACAACTGCCTATAACTCCAGTTCCAGGAATCCAACCACCCCTCTCACCTCTGTGGACACCTGTATACATGTAGTATACATAATACCACAAATATGTTCTTAAGAATATGCCAGGTATGTTGGTGCACGCCTTTAATCTCAGCACTTGAGAGGCAGAGGCAGGCAGATCTCTGAGCTTGAGGCCAGCCTGAGCTACATGTGAGACACTATATCAAACAACAAAAACAAAACCTTTAATAATAAATCTTAAAGAAGGGACTAGAGAGATGGCTCAGTGATTATGAGCACTGAGTGCTCTTCCAGGGGTCCTGAGTTCAATTCCAAGCGACCACATGGTGCCTCACAACTATCCATAATGGGATCTGATGCCCTCTTCTGGTGTGTCTGAAGACAGCTCATTTCCATAAAATAAATAATTTTTTATAAATAAATCTTAAAGAAAACAAAGAGTCTAATGAGGTAGCTCAGTGGATAGAAGTCCTTGTATGCAGGTGTGACAACCTAAACGTGACCCAGAGCCCACAAGGTGGCAGGAGATGGCTGACTCCAAGTCACTTTCTGCTCTTCACACCATAGCACACATTCATACACACACAAATAAATAAAAACAGCCAGGCAGGCCGGGCCATGGTGGGGGCCGCATGCCTTTAAGTCCCTCCAGCACTTGGGAGGCAGAGGCAGGCGGATTTATGAGTTCGAGGCCAACCTGGTCTACAGAGTAAGTTCCAGGACAGACAGGGCTACACAGAGAAACCCTGTCTCGAAAAACAAAAACCAGCAAAAACAAAAATGTTTTCCAAATTTTACTTCATTTTTTAAAAGAATGCTAATAAAATGTTTTTACTTAAAACAAGTAAATGGAATCCCCTTCCAAGGCTATGGCATGAAGAAAAGTTACCCTTGAAGTCCTGAGGTCAAGATGCACACTTCCCTCCCTGGGTTAGCAGTGCAGACACCAGGCAACCATGAGAGCCTTCGAGAGGTTGAACCATGTCTTCTAATTAAGACAGGAGCCAGCTGGGCATAGGAGCCCTCACCTGTAATCCTAGCTGTCAGGAAGCTGATGCAGGAGAATTACTTTCATGTTTAGCTACATAGTAAGTTGGAGGCCAGTCTGGGCTACGGAGTGATACATTATCTCTAAAGGAGGGAAGAGGCCAGGGAGGGGCTCACAAGTCAGAGGCCCTGAGTTCATAACTCTGGGACCCATGTAAAGCAGGATCCGAGTGGAGATGGGGAGCAGGGACAGATCCCCTTGATACTCCTGGGTCAGCAGGCCTGGCTTCAGTACTGAACCAAAGAAACCCTGTCACAGCACAAAGAAGAAAGCAGGACCCACACCCAACACTGTCCTTTGACACACTCCATGGCAGTGCTTACCCACATAACAAACAGAGTATACTTTGGAACCACCTTGAGAGACTACACTTTGCTGAGGTTAGCCACTGCCTCCGTTCCTTATTTATTATTTTTTGTTTTGATTTTCTAGACAGAGTTTCCCTGTGTAACCCTAGCTGTCCTGGAACTCACTCTGTAGACCAGGGTGGTTTCAAATATAGAGATCCACCTGCCTCTGCCTTCTGAGCGCTAGAATTAAAGGTGTGCACCACCACCAGCACCAGGCCGACCATCTTTAAACTAGCTGCTTATTAGGATATATTCATATCACATATGGTTTGTTTAACCACACACTTCAGTGATTCCCATTGTAACTATTGTGCAGTTATCACTAGAACTGGTTTTATCACCCAGAACACTGTACCATGAGCAGTCACTTGCTGGCCGGCCCTGCACTCACAGGTGTCTGTGAGCGAGCAACACGCTTGCTTGTGCACCTTGCTTTCCTCCTCATTGGTTTTGACTTCAGGCTTACATTGAGTTTTACTGTTTTATTTTACTGTTTCTGTTCTTGGCACTCTGTAGGAAAAGCAACAGTTTCAGCGTCATCTGACCCGCCCGCCCCCCCAGTACCAAGACCCAACACAAAGCACCTTCCCACAGCAGGTTGGACAGTTCACAGGTAAGGAGAGGCGAAGGAGGTTGGGGGAAAGGTAGCTTTGGGCATAAGGAGGGGCAGAGCTCATGATGTGTGGGACTGATGGATTCCTGAGTTTACTTGCTCAGAGAAGCTGTGGTTAGGAGAGGGCTAGATTTTCAGTTCCTTTGTGACACAAGAAGGTCTCCAGGGTTCACTATGAGGACGCTCAGTTAAACATCCATCTGAAGCAAAATTATTACTAGTTAGAGGGGATCTTATATGTAAGCCTTTTTTTGTTTTGTTTTCTAGACAGGATTTTTCTATGTAATAGCCTTGGCTGCTCTGGAACTCATCTGTAGACCAGGCTAACCTTGGATTCATCCTTTTGTCTCTGCCTTTGCCTTCTGAGTGCTGGGATTAAAGGCATGTGCCACTGCCACAACACCTGGTTTATGTGTAAATCTTAATTAAAATAGTTCTTTGTATCTTTAGAAGTACCCCACAGCAAGCTGGGGGTAGTGGTGCATGCCTGTAATCCTAGCACTTGGGAAGTGGAGGCAGGAGGATTGAGTTCAAGGTCATCTTCAGCTTCTTAGTGAGTTTGAAGGATCTTGTCCTTAAAAGAAAACCAACAAAACTGATTTCCAGATGGAAGGGTCTATTCTAAGGAAGAGAGGAAGCGCCTAAGCCTTAGCCGTCACTTCTGAGCTGTAGATTGCAAGTCACATGTAAGGTATATGCTGGCCTTGTCTTCCTTAGTGAACTCTCACTGTGATGTGTCATAGAAACTGACCACAGCCAGGTGAGAGTCTAGGTGTGGTCTCCTGATGTGCTGGCTAGAAATGTGGAGTTGGGCATCTATTGGAGCCACCAGAGCCTGTGCCTGGTTCTCGACTGTTCTCGACTCCACCCAGGCCACACTGACAGGGGCTGTTACCATGGTGAAGTAGTCCTTTTCAGCTCTCCCCTTTTCATCACAACTGTTTTTTAAAAGTTATTTGAGGGGTGTTATGCACACGTGATACACGTGCCTGTGGAGGACAGAGCTGTTGGATCCCTGTGGAGCAGTTGTGAGCCACCTGTTACAGGTGCTAGACTAAACTTGGGTCCTCTGCAGAGCTCAGGCCAGAACCAATAGGCAGAAAGCTCCAGGCAGACATGGTGACAGTCCCGGCACTTGGGAGAGAAAGGCAGGTGGGTCAGGAGGTCCAGGTCAGTACACAGCTCTCTACAGTGAAACTGTGTCTCTAAACAAAGGAGAGGTCTGGAGAGACCTCGGTCAGTGAGGTGTTAGGAAGGAGGAGGACTCAGGTTGCTTCTCGGCATCCCCATAAAAGCCAGGGGCTGTGGTGTGTGTGTGTGTGTGTGTGTGTGTGTGTGTGTGTGTGTCTGTCTGTCTGTCTGTCTGTTGTGTGTGTTCCAGGTACCACAAAAACAGAAGTGGACAGATCTCTGAAGCTTTCTAGCCAGTCAGTCTAGTAGCAAGTTTCCTGAGGACTAAGGCTCATGCTCAGTAACTACCTGGTAACTCCATGCTAGATTTCTACTTCCCTCAACCACCTTATATCATAAACAACAGGGTGGAGAGACCAGTCTTCAGCTACAGCCCTCCATACATTGCCTCATCCAAGTCACTGACAGCCACACCCCAGCGGAACTAAACTTAGTCTCAGGCTTTACCATCCTGCTCTTGACATACCCAGCCACTGCTGGCTCCTTAATGTCCCATAGCGTGTTACAATTCTGTCCCTTCACAGGTGTCCTTCTTCTCTGTTCTGAATGCTCTCTACACTTTCATGTTGTCAAACCTGTGTGTGGGTGCACATTTGTGTATGCATCTGTGTGTATATGTATTACATGCATGTGTGTGTGCATGAGTATACACATGTCCATGTGCTTTGTGCACATGTGCTGCTGGCAACTGAATGCAAGGTCTTGTGCATGCTAAGTAAGTGTTCTACCTACTGACCCACTCCCCCAGCCCTAAATTCAGTTCTAAGCCCCTTCTTTCTAAACACTTTCCCAAATGTTAGGCAGAAAGCCTTCAGAACTATGTATTTCCTATAACCTGCTGCTCCAGCTTTGACCTTGTCACACCATGTGACGGCGTTGGCTTCCACACACGGATTCTGGGCTGTTGGTCGTGTTGTTGGGTTGTTGTCCCGGCTGAGACAAACTTTGTTGGCTACTTGATAAGTAAATGGACAAGACAGCTGGCTTGGCCTCTGGAGCTTCCCTCCCTCCGTCCTGTCTTTGAGGACTGTCACTGCCCGTGCCCGTGCCCGTGACGTGGGATGGTTCTGACTCTCACGCCCATGGAAGAGGAGCTGCAGCTTGGGTCTCGGAGACAGCTCCACCATAATAGTCGGGAATGCCAACATGGGCTGGCAGAATAGCTCAACAAGTTAAGTCTGTTGGCCTGAGTGTGTCCCTAAGTCCCATGGTGCAGGGAGGGAGCTGTACTGGCTAGTGTATGACATTTTGATACAAGCCAGAGATATTTGGGAAGAGGGATGCACAGTTGAGAAAATGCCTCAGTAATATTGGCCTCTAGGCCAACCTGTGGGTCATATCTTAACTAGTGATTAATGTGGGAGGCCCAGCCCACGTGGAGGGTCCAGCCCATGGGGGTACTGCTACACCTGGCCTGCTTGGTGGTCCTGGGTGCAAAAGAAAGCCGAGTAAGTCATGGTAAGCATGCTGTAGGCAGCATTCCTGTATGGCCTCTGCTTCAGTCCCTGCATCTGGGTGTGGTGGTGCATATCTTTAATACTAGCACTTGGGAGGGAGAGGCAGAGGCAGTTGGATTTCTGTGAGTCTGAAGCCACCCTGGTCTACACAGTGAACTGCAGGGGTTACATAGTGAGACCCTGTCTCAGGGTGGGGGAAAGTGAAATAAACCCTGTGCTCTCCAAGTTGCTTTTGGTAATAGTGTTTATCACAGGAATGGAAACTCTTTTAACTAAGACAGGAACTAACTCCTGCCTGCTGTCCTTACTCCCTCACATGTGTGTCACATTTGCACCTGCACCTACACGCACACAAAAACGTAAAGGAAAGTGTATGCCGACTTGACTGCTAGAATTTCCTTTCTTCCAGGACCTTCTGCTGCTGTGCCTGGAATGAACAACTTGGGTCCATCCAATCCCAGCTGTCCTCGAGTGTTCCCTCAGCCTGGGACTCTGATGTCAATGGGTCCTGGACATGCCCCTGTTTCCTCTCTCCCCTCCAGCTCAGGCCAGCAGGACCGTGGAGTGGCCCAGTTTACCGGGTCCCAGAGTTTGCCTCAGAACAGCCTTTATGGCATGACATCTGGCCTAGCCCAGATAGTTACCCAGCCCCCACCACAGGCTACCAGCACACATGCCCACATTCCACGGCAGACCAACGTAGGCCAAAATGCCTCCACCTCAGCTGCATATGGACAGAACTCTCTGGGGAGTGCCAGTCTCTCCCAGCAGCACAATAAGGCAACCTTGACTCCTGGTTTAACAAAGCCACAAGTCCCAAGGGTGTCAGCAGCCATGGGAAGCCAGAATGCCTCATGGCAGCATCAGGGAATGCCAAACCTGAGCAGCCAGACACCTGGGAACAGCAGTGTGAGCCCCTTCACTGCAGCTTCCAGTTTCCACATACAGCAAGCCCACCTAAAAATACCTGGCCAGCAGTTCTCCCAAGCCATGCCCAGCAGGCCCATGGCTCCTATGAGTTCAGCAGGTGCAGCAGGGCCCATGCTGCCCCCAGTGAGCACACAGCAGAGGAACAGTGCCCCTGCACCTGCACCTCCCCAAGCAGCTCCACAGCAGGGCTTGCCTGGCTTAAGTCCTTCAGGGCCTGAGCTGGGGGCCTTCAGCCAGAGCCCCACTTCACAGATGAACAGCCGGCCAGGGCTACACTGTGCTCAGGCTTACCCTGTGAGGACCATGGGCCAAGACCTGCCTTTTGCCTACAGTGGGCAGCCAGGCAGCAGTGGTCTGTCCAGTGTGGCTGGACATACTGACCTGATTGACTCACTGCTGAAGAATAGGACTTCTGAGGAGTGGATCAATGAATTGAATGATCTTTTAGGGTCACAGTAACGGAGACATCTGTGGCGTTTTCGGTGTTTAGTCATCTTATATATTTGTTCTCAGATTCAAGAAAGAACAACTACTTTGGACCAAAAGCCCGTGGCTCAGAGAACTGGGCCAGTAGAACCTAAGCCACAGCCGAGGCCAGCTCTGGTCCACTGGGCTGGCCCACCACATTGGCATCACTAAACTAGGGTTGGGATAGCAGGGTAGAGGTTTGAAAGGTAGCTTCCTACCCAGATGACCAAAAAGCCAGTGGAAACAAGCCCCACCAGAATATGTGCCGTGTTTTTACCCAAGATTTCTCCACTTGCCTCAAGGCTGGGAACAAACTTTTGGAATTTTAAATAGGATTATTTGCATTTTATAGCATAGAAGTAATTTTTTTAATTTAAGATTTTTAAACAGATTAGGACAAGTGGTGGTTGTATTGTAAGTGGCACTGGAAACCCGGGGTTTCCTTAGGAGTCGGAGCCTTTTTATCCTTCTCTGTCAGCTTTCATGGTCACTGGAAATCACTGCCAGAGTACAGGCTGTGACTGCAGATGCCAACATGATCAGGATGCCACAGATGGCACATCTAGTGGTGTAGATAGGATCCCTCCTCAGAGTTCCTCCTACTTCTTGGCTGCCACTCACTCTTGAGGACACTGGGCCCCCATGGAGTCCCCTCCATGCCCTGGCATGGCTGAATGCTGAAGGTGGAGACTCGGCATGTCTCTGACAACCTGTATGTCCATGGTAGAAGTGCCATTCAGTTGTACACACACCTTTCCTTCTCCATATCATCCCCATGACCCTTCTTTCTAACTCCTGGCCTCTTCCAGCCAAAACGGGAAACAGTGGCTAACTTCACTGCATTACAAGAGGAAGAGTCAAACTCCTTAGGGAGTCTGAGCCTGCCACAGGTTTGGGGAAAGAAGGCTGCAGGCAGCCTGCTGTCTAGGCATCACTTTATTCTTTCCCCTCTAGACTTCTGCTCCTCCCACAGCTGATGACTTGCACTTTTAAAGTGGTTTTATAACACTAACCCATCCTTGCTAAAGATTGAAGTAGATTCTCCTAGAAGGTCTATTGATGGACATGTCTGAGCAAAGAAACTATGAAATAGAATATGGTATGTGGGCTGCTAGCAGCAAGCGTGAGCACTTGTCTTCATCACAAGCAAGATGATGAGCACAAAGTGAGACCTTTAACAGGATGTGAAGGGATAGATGTTTGCTGGAGTGACTTCCATGCAGAGTGGTCTGTAGAGAAACCACAGCTCTGTCCATTGTTCTGGAGTTTTAGAACACTTCATCTAGTATAAAGAACTGAGCCAAGGAAATAACAAGAGCAGCCGTCACACTTGGAGGAGTCAGAAAGTGTGCACACACTGCTAACTAGTTTGCACCAGCAGTGCCTTTTTCCCTGAGGGCACCTGTGCTCTCAGGTCCTTGTCCCTCATAGCCATTTCTCCTGCCATGTCCTCCCCAGAAACTCAGCTCAGCTCTCGGAGAAGCAGGTGAATCATAGTCAGTGAAGATGCCACCCTCTGATAGTCCCCAACTGTAGGGGGAAGAGAGTGACTTCCACGGGTTCTCTACCAAAAACAGGGCTACGGGCTGGAGATGGATCCTGGTTCCTCTTCCAGCCCCTGCTACAGCTGCCCACCTCCTGCCTCCATTGCCCAGGCCCCAGCAGCTGGCCCCAGCACTCTACCTTAGGCCCAGGCTGGCCAAACAGGCAGTGAGTAGCTCACTTGCTGCAGTGTCATAGCAATAAAATGTGATTCTTGGGGTCCCCTCCCCCAGAGCTGCCCATGGCTTTATTTATGAGTCTGGCTTTGAGGTGTTGGGAAGAGGTAACCCACTTCCTCTCTGCCATCTTCTTAGAGCCATGACTCAAAAAGAAAAGGGTGCTCGGACTCTCTTATACACGTGCTTTGTGTAAATAAATGTTTACAATTTTATATTGAAGATGGAATAAGTGTTAGAGCGTCCAACTGTATATTTTTTACTTTTATAGATTTTAAAACTGATCCTTTATATGTGTTTGGAGCTATGATAAGTTTTATGGCAAGCAGTTGGTATTGTTAACTTTTTATGATCATCAAAAGTGCATAAAAGTCCTATTAATCCCCTATTCTGCTTCCCTTAGCTCTGGTATACACCAAAAAGAAATCTTTACTTTCCTTGTGTTATAAAAATAATAAAAATATTTTACTAGTATGGAAATCACAAGTGTCTTTGACTTCCCTGGGGACATTTGACAGCTGTCAATTTCTCTGATTTAGCAGTGCTCTCCTCCTGCATGTCTTATGGGGGCTGCCTCGCTGATGGCAATGATGACAGAGCCATGGGCATGCTGCAGAAGAGCAGTCCTCTCACTGTGATTAGACCAAGACAGATGGGGAACAGAACACAGTCTAGGCTTCCAAAAGTCAAAGAAAGTGGGACCCGAGAGCTGGGGCCGATACAAAACAATGGTGCACCGAAAAAAATAATTAGGAACCAACTGGGACCCAATATGAAATCCAAATGCTTTTTTGTTTTTGTTTTGAGGTAGGTTTCTCTGTGTAGTCCTGAAACTTGCTTTGTAGATAGACCAGGCTGGCCTCGAATTCAGAGATCTACCTGCTTCTGCCACCCAAGAACACTGAGATTACAAGTGTATACCGCACTACACACACCATCCAGAAGCTGCCTTTATACACAATGATCCTACTTCAGCACTCCTGAGTGCTAACATTACAGACACACACCACTATGCCCAGATGATAATCCTCTCATAATTAAATTATTCAGCCGCAAGCATTTTGTTATAAGAACAGAAAATGAACTAAGAACTCCTAGGTCTGGAAACAGGAAGGGAAACATAAGGCACTACAGAACATTGCCGGTAAGAACCTGTCTGAAGAACCATCATTGCTAGACTGGAAGGTGGGAGGGCTTAGAGGCATAGTAGCCCTCTGTTCTGATATAAACTGCCACCTCCGCAGAGCCCCCAGCAAGCAGTAGCATCAGGCCTGGCTATTGCAAGCTTTGAGAAAGCCACCGTCCTTCCTGAGGAAAGTCACGATTCAGAAGTAACTGAGGTGTAAGGAAAGGAAGCAGACATCTAGAGATGTAGTTACTCTGGGATGGAGTGCTCGGTCTTGGTGGGTCCAAATTCACCAGCCATACACATCCAGTAGGACTCAGAGCACATATTTTATTGACTAGAAAGAAAAAGCACACATGGGAAGCCAGCCTGGGCCTCTGTAAAGCTGTGTGTTCCTCCTAGGACCAGCCTGCTGGTAGCAGAGGTGCGGAGAGCAAGGAAGATCCAGGATCTTAGAGGAATAGGGCCAAGAGGCAGCTCAAGACCTCCTAGAAGCCAGATCAGTTCAATTATCCTAAGCCCATGGAAGGTTGAAATAGAAGAATCACCTCAAATTCTAGATCAGCCTGGGCTACATAGGAAGACCTTGTCTCAAAAACAAAAAGAAAACACAAGTACATTGGTGAACTCATCATAATAAGTATGTAGGCCAGAGGAGCAGCCTACAGTTCCTGACCAGTGCAGGGGTAAGGAGATGTCAACGGACGGGGGTGGGGTACAGCCAGTTCCCATCTAAGATGCTCAGTTTGTGACTGCTCTGCTTTTCCATAGTGTGAATGCAATGTGCAGTCAGGAGAAGCGGCTACAGAATCTGAACCCAGTCCACCCACACGTAGCGCTGCCTCCCCCCCCCAACCCCATGCTGGGTGCTGATGCAAGTGCTGCAGCATCTCCAAGGGAAGAGCCGCTGAGGCTTTGCATTGTTGCTGTTGCCAAGCTGGCTATGTGTGTAATAAATAAATGTCTCAAAGTTAAAAAACAACATACTCAAAAAGGGACACATGGAGTCTGACCAGCTCAACCCGTATCTAGACTCTAGCACTCAAAGGGCTGAGGAGACTCGTGAGTGAGCCCAGGAGTTCAAGGCCATTTTGAGATAGCATAAAAGAATGAAGGGAAGGAGGGAGGGAAGAAAAGGAAGAGTTTAAAAAGGAAACAGGGAGTAGGTAGTTGGCTCAGCCATCAAGAGCACTAGCTGCTCTTCCAGAGAACCCAGTTTCAGTTCCCAGCACCCACGTGACATCTCACAACCATCTGTAACTCCAGTTCTAGGGAATCCAACACATTCTTCTGACTGGTGGCATCTGGCACACAAGTGATGCACATACATACATGGAAGCAAAACACTCAAGCAAATCTTTAAACAGAAAAGACGGCATTGGATCAGTAACGGGAGTGGAGAGAGAGAATCCCAGAGAGTGGGGGGGGGGGAGGTGGGGGGGGTAGCTGGAACGCTGCTGACCTGGTACCATGGCAACCCTGGAAGAGCAGACACCATCGCCACTGCCATGAGTGGCCACTGGCTAACACCAGTTCCAATCCCAGGCCCATCGTGGCAAGTAGCACTGGCCTGAAGTCTGCAGTGCCTGGTGACAGGAACAAAAGGTTATCTCAACAAGGTTTTGTGAACAATAGAACGGTCAGAGGTAAGAAGCAGGTATCAAGGCCACACGATGGCACTCTCCTGTGATCCTAGCACTTAGGAGGCACAGGTAGGTGGATCTCTGCTAGTTTCTGGTCGACCCAGTGAAACCTTATCTCAAAAACAACAAAAACAGACAGCCCCTGGAAGTACCTCCAAAGTAAGGAGCAAAAATGGGTTCGGAGACAGCCAATGTTACAAGCCCCCACAGAGGGACACCTCACAGCTTTACACACAGCAAAGAGAATCACTGTAGACACTATCTGCTTCCTAGGGGTTCTTTACAAAGTTACCAGCAGAATACCCCAACAGTTTCAGAGGGGATAGTAGAGCACTCCTGAAGGGCAGGCCCAACAATGCCAGCCCTAGTGCAGGTGAAGATTTCCACCATAATGTGTGAAAAAAAAAAAAAACCAACTGCACAAACCAGTTTCCACCGCCCTCCAGAGTGATGGAGGCTACTAACAGCCACAGTGCAGGACAGGAGGGTAGACCAGTGAGACAGTGCATATACAGTTATAGACCACAATCCTGCAAAGCCTTCCTTGCCAAAGACCACCTAGAGAGGATAGCAGTGAAAGTAAGGCCCACAGTGGCATCACGCCTTTAATCCCAGCACTTGGGAGGCAGAGGCAGGTGGATTTCTGAGTTCGAGGCCAGCCTGGTCTACAGAGTGAGTTCCAGGACAGCCAGGACTACACAGAGAAACCCTGTCTCGAAAAAAAACAAAACAAAAAAAAAAAACAAAAACAAAAAAAAAAGAAAGAAAGAAAGAAAGTAAGGCCCAAGGTCAGCTGGTAACTCAACTTCAGCATCAACAGTTTCATCTGCCCACAGATACCAGTGAACCCCAAACCACAAGACGGCAAAGACAAAAGCTGCTGACTCACCAGCTGAGAGTCTGACCCTCACCCCTGAGGCTGAGCAGGACAAGGCTGAGCAAAAGCTGGCCTAACACCTCAGCCATCATCTGATTTAGTAATCCAAGAAGTATGTGTGCAATCCCAGCTGTAAGAAATGAACAGAAGACTGGGGTAGAAGACCTTCAGTGCTTGCTTTCTGCTCCATGGATCAGATACATGAGAACTGTCTACATCTCTACACAACATGGGGTTATTATTTTTTCCAAAGACATCTTATAGTGGCAATACTGGAATCTTGGTTTCATTAAAAACAAAACACAGAAATAAGCGTATGTTTTCATTTTAATCCCAGGTGTGGGATATGAGGCTGCTTCAGACTGTCCACAGCAGCTATGATTTGCCTCGGGCTCTAGCAGAAGCATGATTTTGCCAGTAGCAAATAATTTCTTCCACTGAGTGATGTTTGGAATTCTGGGTACTTTTAGAGGGTATATAAATGCTAGGGCCCTGAGAGGCAGGGTAGGTTGTTGATTGGTTTCGGTTTGTTAAGTAGTTGTGGACAAAGAAGAAACAAGAAGAAATCACACATGCTGCCGGCAAAAATCAAACTTGCCCCAAGAACTTGATGCCATTAATCAGCAGGAAGTAGTCTAAGGATAACTCTGCCCTCTTTCTGTTCCTTTTTCCTCTCCTATCTATTGTTAGGGTGTTAAAAGGGTAGAGGAGAGAGGGTGGAGAAGGGGGGAGAAAGAGGAACCCACCGAACAGGCAAAAGTCCTGCTATAGTATCTCCTTTTGGTGATGCTGGTCTATTGCTTTCTTGTTGCTGTGCTGTGCTACACACCATGACCAACACATCTTGGAGAAGAAGGGGTTTACTTAATCTTAGGACTCCCCAGTCATACTCCACCAAACTAAGAGAAGTCAGGGCAGGAGCGCAAGGCAGGAACTGAAAGCAGGTCATGGACTCCACTCACTGGCGTGCACCCATGTTTAGTTATCCACCCCACCCAGGACCACCTGCCCTAGGTGGCATGATACACAGTGGGCTGGACCCTCTGACATCAATCTTTAATTAAGAAAATGTTCCACACTCATGTCCACAGACTAATCTGATGAAGGCATTTCAATTGGGGTTCCTTCTTCCCAGGTGACTCTAGTTTTTAAATCATGCAGACAAACGTCATACACAAAGCATCACCGTTAGATGGTAACATTTCTTTCCTTGCTTGTACCAAGATCATGTTAATATTAATATCAAACAGTATAATTTTAGAAGTCCCACAGACATTAAAACATTCAAATATTTAGCTGGATGTGGTGGCACATGTCTCTACTCCCAGCACTAGGGAGGCAGAGGCAGGTGGATGTCTGTGTGTTTCAGGATGGCCAGAAGTACTAAGACACTGTCTCAGAAAAAAAAAAAACATAACAACAACAAAAAACCCACAAAGAAACAAACAAACAAAAAAACCTCAGAAAAGTAGAAAAAGTAACTAAGAAAACCACCATTGTAAGCCGGGCAGTGGTGGTGCACGCCTTTAATCCCAGCACTTGGGAGGCAGAGGCAGGCGGATTTCTGAGTTCGAGGCCAGCCTGGTCTACAGAGTGAGTTCCAGGACAGCCGGAGCTACACAGAGAAACCCTGTCTCGAAAAACAAAACAAAGCAAAACAAACAAAACAAACAAACAAACAAAAACTACCATTGTACGCTCAAAGCCAGTAGCATGAGGCATCTTACACATTTCTGGTTCTGCTTCTGGCTTGAGATACAGCCTTGCCCTCACCTCCCTCCACTGAGCTACAGCTGACCCTCAGGAAACACTTCCCAGAAGATTTTGCCTCAAT